GAACGGAAGATGTCCAGATAGCATTGGAAAGGTTAAAAAGAGCAAGGTTACAAAACAAGGCGCGATTCGATAAGCAACATCGATTGAGACCAAAAGCAATCGAGGAAGGTGACTGGGTACTTGTTTATGACAATAGTCTGGATAATCAATATAGTACTTTGCGGAAATTCTCAAAACGTTGGTTTGGACCATATGTGGTAACGACTGTTCATGATAATGCGACTTACTCATTACGGGAGTTAGATGGTACAAAATTGAAAATACCAATTGCAGGGAAGCGAGTAAAAATATTTAAACAAAGACACGCAAAGATGAATATGGAAGACCTTAATGAAGGTATAGAGATTCCGCAGCAAGAAGATGAAAGTGATTTGGATAATGAAGGTGACGAAGATGAACTGGACAAAGACGTAGAGGATATATTCTGAAGCAAACAGCAATTGGATAAATTGGTGCATACCGGAGGATACACAGGTTCAGAGGGGGTGGATGTCGTGTTGTAACACGAGTATACAGTGAAAATAAAAAGAAAGGGGAATTTTATTAATATTCAGTTACCTCAAATATTGGGAGCAACGACCAACTCCTGTACAAATACTGAGTGGCCAGGTTCAGTCACCCTGTTACAGTCAGCCGGGGCATACTGAAATGCTCCATTCAATTCCAATAACAGGAGTCAGTAAGAAGAGAAGGACCAATTCACACGACGGATTCAAAGAGCCAATTGGATCCAATTTCGAGAATCCAATCCGGGTCCTCTTACCCAATATGAGACCTGAATTGGCCGGTCAACCCAATGCAATCTAATTACGGGAAATCCAGGTCTTACTACGGGCCTTAGCCAATCTGACGTGAGGACCAATTTGACCCAATTATGCGAACATCCAGGTTACTACGGGGATCTTTCCCAATATGGGACCTGAATTGGTCGGGCAACTCAATGTGTACCCGAGTAAGGGGTTTCGATTTTGTTTCAGGCTGTCCTGTTCTCTGTGCCGTTTCAGGGAACGTTGTTTGCGGTAAATGGATCTCTTAAAGGTAAAAACGGAGGAAAAGGCCTTGATGATGTGAGCCAATTTCGGATCTAAGCTCTGACGACGGGAGCCAATTTCGGATCCAAGACGGAAGATTGAAGGAATTCAAGAGGATAAGGTTAGGAGGAGAATAAGTTTGAAGGGGAATCAGTTTTTAGGGAGTTTTTTTTTTTTTTCAGATCAGAGATCAGGGGGGGGTTTTTTTTTTTTCTCTGGGAATCGGGGGGAGCTAGTTTTCAAGCTTTTGCAAGGTTACTAGTTCGGTTTTCATTGGATAGTTTTGAAGAGGGGGATTAGAGAGGGGGGCTTCATGCTTCGGGTCGGGGAAGGAAAGACAGAGAATTTGGATTTTTTTCTTCGTAGAGTTTTGGGAAGACTGAGGCAATCGCTGCTGAAGTCAGTATTGTAATGGTGAATCGGGATTTTTAATGAAGTGGGTTTGAATACTCTTGACTGTTTTGTGAAATCGAGTTACGTCTGTGATTGAAGGATTAAAAGGGTGTCTATAGGATTGAGTATGCGGAGTGAATGAAATTTATTGGGTTAATCTAACCAGACAGTCAGTGGATACAAGATCGTAAGTACAAAGCGGTATTGAAGATTAACAGTTTGGGTTGTTCGGGGTTCTCTGTAACGTCTAGAGACCTATCGGCTGGGGTAAAAAGGACTTCGACAAGCAGTCGAAGAGCATCCGTATAGATTTACGGTACATTGTTGCAGTCGTTTATATTCCAGCAGTCAAAACTGATAGACTGCTTGACTATCGGTGAATCTCCATACTACCTTCTACAGCCAGACGCCCAGCGCGTTCTCGAGCAAGAAAGTACGTAATACGACACCGGATGAGACATTACAATTGTCACAACCTTCAAGACGACACAATCGAGATGAAGATCTTCAAGAACGACATGTTCTTCCTCGAATAGATCGCGAGATACAACGCATTTGGTATCATGATTTGGGAAGGGACTCCCGATGTTTTGTGATTGTGATAGAGGTAGGAACAACTCCTGATGGTGTTCCAAATATTCTATTCGAAGGAAGTTACGAAGGCTTCAACAATGATCAAATAATTGGGTGGTCTTCCCGCCCTAGTATGAGACACTACCGATGGTTGAGAGGCCCTATCAATCATCTTCGAAGAGAACAAAGATCAGAGTATGTAGTGAATACAATTCGTCACATCATAGATTTTCTCAACATATGATGACTGCTCCTCGTAAAACTCGCCCCTAGAAGGGAGGGTAATGTCACGGATATAATCATGTAAGCTAGTAATTACATATACAAATAGGTAGAAATAAGTAAAAGTAGGTAAAAGTAAGTTAATTCTATAGTATTTAATATGGAAGCTTCCTAGAAGCTTCATAGATGCTACTTTGACTTCATAGGTGTCTTCAATTGACTTTTTGGATTAGAAACGTCGTCAATAAGTTAGCCATGTACCACACATGTTGTTAACTTGAAGATCAAGCTAACTATGTGGCCCACACATAGAAGAACTTGCCTTGTAAGTCAAGGCATGTGTGCTACAAAGTCAACACATATTGGAGGTCCTATAGAACGTCGCCACGTAGCCCTTAGTTAGATAGTATGTATAGAGACAAGAGTGAAGGCTTCTTCACTCTTGTCAACTCCTTTCTTGCTTCTAGTCTAGTTTCAACGGTCTCTAGTTTTCTTGTCTTTTGGCAATAGCCATTCCAGTTTCTCTTTCAATATATATCTTTGTTTATATATATTTTGTTACCTCTCTTTGAATGAAGGCTCACTTGTCTGAATTGTTTTTTCATCAAGTTCTTGTCCTTGACATGTTTATATTTCTTTGTAGTTTTTTTGGTAGTGATTGTATTATTATACTTATATTTGAAATTGGTATTGATTCTTTTTCTATACTAAAAACTATTTCCCACATCTCTTTTATTTCAAATTTCATTTTTGTCTTTAATTTCTTTACAATATACCAAGAGCCATCAAATTTTGGCCATTCCTTTGTGGTGAGGCTTTTAGAAGCCGTACTTATAAAAGAGAAGGTCTATTGGTGCCCCAATTTTTGTGCAAAATGTCTTTAGCACAATCCATTTTTTTGTGAGCTTCTTCTTCTAGTTTTCTATGTTTCTGAACTCATTCTTCTAAATACTGCTATTGATGCTTTGATATCATATTAGACTTGCCTATATACTAAATAAGATAATGTTGTTATTTTATATTATAAAGTATATGTTTTGTACAAAAATATATTATTGAAGAAAGTCACAACCAGAAGGGTCGTGACTCTTCCTTGGGTCATGATTGTACCATGTATTACGGAACAAGGGTCTACTATATGTTCGTTACTGAAACTGTTAGGGTTCCAATAGTTTTCCATCTTACAAAACCACCATCTCTATGGCCTAAAATCAGGTTTATTTTTACTTAATTTACACAAAGATCATACGTAGATCATATTGAAATCCATACTGAGATCAGGTTTATGAGTTATACTTGTATGGGTCATTTTCCACGTAATTCTCCCGTAGTCTATAATCCCTGCCCACATTAGTTTCCTAACCTACCTATCACACCATATCTCATCACCAAAGATTTTTGAATGAGTTGTCATATATTGATTGAAATTATCCAAACGGAAATTAATAGCTAGGATAAGTTCTCTTAGGTTGGTTATTGATATTGCCTTTTCATGCTGGTAAATTGCATGATATATTGTAAGACTTAAATGTGGGCAATATTTTAGCATTGTGCTCCGAATTAACCCAGACTACTGTATTCTATATTTTACTGATTTCAGTGGAGAAACTGTGGCTTTTTGACTGTCTGCTCTAGCCTCCAATTTCAAGAAATCTTGCGATTGATCCATGTGTACATCAAGTAACTAGAGGGACAGCGTCTGTTGGTTTATCCAGAAAATGTTGCTGCTATTAACGACATCAAATGTTCCCACAAGAGTATCTACTGCAGAGTTTTTCTTTTTCATTTTCTTTTAGGAAAATAAGGACGCAGACTCCCTTGCTGATGAATGGAATTTTGGTACACAGAAAGGTCCAAGTCTTCCCGGGGCTTTTACTCATTGTCAGCTATCCTCACCTTTGGGTGGGGGGGGGGGGGGTGGACATTGTTCCACCCAGTTGAGATTCCTGTATCTATGATAGCTAACTTCCTCTACAGAGTTTGTTTTGATGGTGAGAATTTGGCTGAAAACAAATGAAGAAACTGAGAATTGATGGTTCGCCTATTATGAGACGCTTGCAGTATGATGAATTCGGCTAAAATTGTGCAACAATGACCAATTGACAGCAACACCCATGCTTCTTGTGGTAAGCTAAAAAATAAAATTGCGGTGTTGTTTCTACTTTGTTCTTGATGTGGTATCCTGGATTGCCTTAGTTGCCTAATCGTCTGGCCCTGGTGAGTAGATTAGTCAAATGTACGTTCTAGAGGCTGTTCTCATTTTCACGCCACTCACATGCTCCTTCGCAACGCATACAAATGGATTTTGTGTTGGCCACATTGTGATGAAGATGTTGAGAATTCCATACACTATCATAATCTACTTTCTTGGAGTAAAATTTACAGAACCTTTCAAAGCAACACAATTCAATGCGATGAGCTTTGACAGAGATTGATTGCTTTCTTAATTGCAAACATATTGTTGTATTCCATTGTTGCAATATTAGAAATAACAGCGTTAAAAATGTCGTACATCGCTTAAATAAATTTGCTCAGGTCAATCATTTTGTTTTAATATGATGAAGCAATTTCTATTGTCAACTGCTACTGACAATGAACATGAAAAAGTTTTCATCATGCGCCTTAAATCTGTTAACATACTTATCTGATATTCTGCAAATTGGGGTACTGCGGCTGTAAGGAAGGAAAAACGAATTATAAAAGCAGTGTTCATCGTTTAAACAAGAGGTGCAATGTCGGAAACAGAGATTGTCGTTCACGGACAAAGTTGCTACAAATAGATTGAACATTGTTGAACAGATTGAACTCAATGAAGCATGCCGCAGTTAGCTGGGGTACAATGGTGTTGAACAACTAGCCAAGAATGACAAAAGAGGTACGATTTCCAACCATATTATGCGGATAAAGGTTGTCCAAATCATGTGACTGTTTTCCATTGCATTATTACTTCGTGTAAAGTGAACTGTAGGCATCACTTTTTGACACCTAGGTTTTGTACGAGGTCACCAGCTAAATGATGTAGAAGCAAAATTGTCATTCTTGCAGTTCTACATTGCTTTGAAAGGGATCGTACTAAATAAATAGTTTGTGGAAATGGAAACTTTCTCTGAAAATGCAAATGGATTTACCTCCTCCGATTGTATTGGAATACTTTGATTCATTAAGTAAACACTGCTCCGGTATCACTCCGATTGACGCACACGGTACAATAGGGCTTCCTCTCTTTTGTACACAAGTTAATGGTACAATACGTAATTTGTAGTCTCCAGCACTGTATAAACCTCACGCTCACAAGAGCGGGGTTGCCTTGTCGCCCAAATCCAAAAATATATATCTAAACAGATAGCACAAGACACGATGAGAACGAGGCCGCTGAAGCATGCTCAATTTAACTGCAAACCTAAGTACAATACTCGAACCCATGATACGAGACTTAAGCCAAACCATAACGAAACTCAAAGGCTTGAAAACTAATTTGATATAAAACACTGACCTGTATTGCAGTTATTTGAAGATGAGCTTGAGATAGATGAAACGGTTATATCAGCTTGGAAACAACGCTCAGGTAGTCGCCCATGTATTTCAGTAGGTTTCAATGTAGAAGATGCATCACAATTAACCGATGTTTAACGTTGAAGAATGTCCTCCATGTCCATCGCCCAACTGACTCTTTTATTGATTCTTCTCTTCCCAGTGCGCTTTTCATCACGGCAAAGTCTTGCAACTTCAATTCCTTTGCCGATTGGGAGAATAGTAGAATTAAACCCCGGCCTGTTAGTCATCTTCTTCTCGTATGAAGCCCTGGCATCTCTTTTGAACAGATTCTCCGCAACCACCACAGCTCGGGTTGGGGTCAAACGCAAATGGTCAAAGATGTCCAAAGACTCCTCCTGTTTACAGTCTATGAGCGCAAAATCTACGTCCGAAAACTGGGGAAGAATATCCTTCGAGTTGCCGACAATGAACTCCACCACTCTGGACAGACCTAATGTATTCATGGCAACCATTGCATTCAGAAGAGCATCTGATTCCGAGAGGACGCAGATCAAACGGCCCCCTGTTTTGCGAGCAGCGACAGCGAGAGCAACAGTAGCCGGGCTCGCACAAGTAGTGACTTGAACCAGAAGCTTCGCCTCGATACCACCAGCCAATGCAGCGAGAAACTCCGTGCTGTGGTGCTCTACGGCCGTTGAAGTATATTTCTTACCAATGCCTACCATACACTGCAAGAAAATAGTACTATCCATCAGAGATATCACAAATAAAAATAAAAATAAATCCGATTAAGGTTAACGGCCTTCATAACAAATGCAACATGAAGCCAAATGGGATGGTGAATTCTACACAATACGCTTGTGTAATCGTAGGACTATTCTTGATACAATTTTGGGCCCGTTCAAATTGAGAGAAAAGTGGCAGTGTTAAACGTAAGGCGCTGCCTTAGGTTATCCTACGACATCACATCGCTCTTTCCAATCAGTGAAAATGTGCAATGTGTACTCACCAGTTCTACAGTTTGCATGTAAGCTTGCGCAGCACTTTCAGGAGACCATCCCATGTTGATCACTTATCTGTCCACTGGAGTTCTGAGTTGCAACGACCTCACTAGACAGCGGCCTCCGCTCCAATTCCAAAACTGAAACTAGATGACACTAAGAGTAGATGATGGTATGAAAAACAATATCAATTCTTCGCAAAAAAGGCACAAGTCTTGAATCTGGGGACCAAGCTCTGTATCGAGTTCGTATCAGGTCACAAGAGAGGTGGCGTTCGAACTATGTTTCATCACTCTGGAGATTTGGAAGGGAGGCCACAATAACCTTCGAGGCAACTCCCCTGAAAGATTTATAGCAATTTCTCGAAGACAGAAACCCAATGCGACGCAAGGATTATTCTACCGCCCCTCTGGAGCTCGTCTTACATGAAAATGACAAGTCCACCTCGGACTTCAGAAAGTTGGTACATTTCACACAAACCCTTATGACTTCACATCTGTTCTGGAAGATCTTATATGAAGCGCCAGGTAGATTAATCACATGGTACTAGAATCAGATAGCGACGGAAGCGACATGCAGATTGGAACGCACTGCATAAATCACCACGTTGAAGATTAGATCGACCTCGTCCTGATCAAGCACCAGCTACACTAAAGTCTTATCTGACTGTCGACGAGTAAATATATCGCGACGAGTATTAACGAATCTTCCCACTACATCGCATGACCAGCTGTCGTAGCGAATTCGACGCGTGTGTGGCCCGTGGTCTTCGTGAACTTCATTAGAAAGCACCCGTCAATGTTACGGCCAGCCAGATCGATATCATCACCCCTGAATAGTGTGTTTCCGTGAATCTACAGTTTGCTTGTTGAGATCAATTGCCACTTTCGGCTCTTACCCTTACATACTTCTGCCAGAGCAGCAGTAGTTACTTCCCGGGTGGTTTTCACAGTATGACCTTTCAACGACGTTTCGAAAGGATTCCACCTGGGTCACGAGAAGAACTATGGCGCCCTCTCCTCGACATTGTTCCTCATTACCAGCCCCTCACGCGACACGCCGCCCGTTTCCAGCGCCGGCTTGTGAGGTGAATTTTCATCAGGGGACGATGTCGCATCGCATCGAAGGAACGAATGATACTTGATGCAGCAACTAGAGAAAAGTGTCGTACTCATCTGTGGGGCTAGGAAGCTCGAACGCTCATTATGGAAAATAAAAAAGGACTAAAGTATGCAGAAAAATAAAGGAATAATTCATAATATAGCTTAGGATCCGTTGGCTAATTAAGAAAGTTTCAACTTGTTCCATGCAAATCGACAGAAGGCATCGGCATCGGAAAAACGCTATTCCTCGACCCCACCGTCGGTTTCCGCGGAGTTTCGAGAAGAGCCTGCAGCCTGAATCTTAAAGCTTCAGTGGATCCCGGGTGGGCTGCTTCGGTGTTTGGTTCGGAGACTTTAGTGGTGATTTTGCCAGGTCCTCGTCAAACGCCGAAGCTTCTTGCAATGCTAGCAGCTTCCATCCCGTTCCTGGGAGAGTGGAGGGTGGAGGCTGCATGTCGAACTGGTCCAGAAACTCTGCCGCTCTTAGTCGGTTAAGCTGCACCCACCCATCTGCAGCAAACAGGGAACTGTGTCGCATGCAGTTCCTAGATGAGGCACAACGGGTGGCATAAATGCAAGACCCCATTTTACAGGTTGAGAGGTCAACGAGCAACAAACATGATTCAATGCGGACGATAGCCACCGCCCCTTTAATGCCTAAATATGGCGGTCTGGCGACCCACCCCAATTATATGCAGGTTTCCCTGTGGACGGCAGATTTTCCTATTCAGAAAACATTGGTTATAACATCTGGAAGTTAGACATAGACCTTATAAATTAACCATCAACAACGACGTTTACTGAGACTGTTGAATAATCACATGCCTATTCAGTCTCCCAAACTGGATTAGTCTGTCCAATGAGATTTGCACAGATAATCATAGCCCTAATTTTCATCTACCGAGTTATCAGGGAACACATGTATCAATTATCTCGTCGCATGAGATAAGATTCAAAACGTGACAGTTGTTCCAGGTATCACGTTAATAGTTATTTTTGATAAATTAATTAGTTAATGGAAACTAAGTGGGGGGTGTGAGGGGGGGTGTGAGGGGGGGTGTGAGGGGGGGTGTGAGGGGGGGTGTGAGGGGGGGTGTGAGGGGGGGGGGGTGTGGTGCAAGATTTCCATGTTGCAGTGTTCAAGAATATGGTAAACATTCTGCAGGTACATGGAATTATACTAGGATTGAACCTTTGCTGTGTTCAAGGTGGATAGACCATTCGAAATTCCAAGTGGATAGACTATTCAAAACCCTTCCACAGCAACTTGTTGCACCCTCTTCTTAATTACACATGTTATGAAGTTTCTGTCCCTTCATCACTGTAACTCTTTCTACGACCTTGTTTTATTTTGTTTTGTTTTGTGGAAAGACTATTCAAAACCTTCTCTGTGCCTGGGTTCTGGAGCACTTGTTTTGTTAGCTTTTTTTGTAAGTGCTCTTCAGGATGAGATGGTCATTGGTGTTTACAAATTATTGCACACTCATTGTTGTTGAATGGTGATTGATGCAAATGGGACAAGTGGTTCATGGTGGGCAATGCATCAGTGTAACCTTGTCCAGAAGTTGAGGTTGTTGAAGCTGGACAACTTTTCCTTGATTGTAGAGCAACTATTGTATGTTCTGAAGTACTACCTAATCTCATAACCTATAATTCCATACTTTTAATCACATTTAATCAAGGATGAATTATATGATCATGGATTCTATAGGCAATCAATCATATATATCATGTCAAATTTTATTTCTTTTGTTAGAAAACATTGCAAGTGTAACACATTTCAATCAAATAGTTGTTGGGATTGATAATTGATAGCAATGTGCAATTAAATGTACAAAAAAATAATAAATAAATAAATAAATAAATAAACGAATTGACAGGGCACCCCTAATCATCTGACTTGGCATCCAGCGGGACTCAATAATTCAGTGGCTCAAGATGGCGCATGGGACCTATAGCTGACATGACAGTTACAAATCTGAAGGCTCGTTGTGGGCATTTGTTTCCCTGCCACGTAGATATGATCTTACAGATCTTGCAGATCAAGGTGTCATAAGCTTGGCAATGTCAAGAATTCCATCCAGCCATCTAGATTTTCAATGCCTAACCAATGCAAATTAGACAAACATAAACATAGTTTACTATGTGGTGTTTAACTTGGTTTTGATCGAGTTAGATATTTTTATATAAATAATAATAAGAATAATAATAATAATAAAACTAACAAACAAACAAACAAACAAACACCTTTCCACATCTTACTTATTATCCTCTTCTGGAGAGCCCAATAGAATACTTCTTCGGCACAAAACGAAAAGATAAGAAAAAATGGGATCAAACATAGAAAAAAGTTAGGTTAGGAAAGAAGACACACAATAAAATAAAAATAATATAAAGTTAAACAGAAATGAATAGAAGGATATGGACAGTCTTAATTGAAATGAAAGGAAAGCCAATGTAGAAATTAAAGAATTGATACCACATTCCTATGCTTAAGATGGGGATCTGATGGGGCTCATCCTTTATACACCCCTAAGCATGGATTCTTCCCATTCATGATTTAAAAAAAAAAAAAATGAACAATATTTTAGATGAATAATGTGAATTCATCAAGTTGGTGACTTTTTGTTCAGTAGATATCCATCAAACTATGTGTTTAAACTACATCCCATTCAATAGAACCGTGATAAGAATATAAAATTTTAACCACACGTGTTGCTACTGGAATAAAATATAAAAGTATTTTAAAAATATATATTTATATTTGGCAAAGTCACTGAATGCAATTGCTTTAAACATGTACAGCTATATCTTGCAATTGCATTAAGTGACTTTTCCAAATATATATTTTTTAAACACAATATTCCTTTTAAATATATATATATATATATATATGTATGTATGTATGTATGTGATTGAGAATTTTCTTTTTTCTTTTCTTTTAGAAACATATTCACAAAAACAAAACAAATCCAAAAGTCATTAACAACTATTTTACATTTTTTTTATGTGTGCTTTAATTAAAAAAAAAATGGTTTATAATTCATTAAATTTATATTTTGCTTATGGAAATACAGCTCTAAATATATATATATATATATATATATCATTATAAATATTATTAAAATTACATATTTTTTATGATATCAAAGTGCATAATTTTAAAAAAATATATATATTTGTGGTCAAATTAATTTTTTAAATTTAAAACAATAAAGTGTTGATAAAGTTGAATATACATTGAATTTGATTTTGTAAAAAAACGTGTAGTATTTAAAATTTTAATTTAGCTATACATATTTTAAAAAGTAGTAATATTTTTTTTATTAGTAACACAAATCAATATTAGTAGCACAAATTTTTAAAAAAAAACTTCTAATTGCATCTAAATACAAAACAATCAATGAATGTTCTAATAAAAAAAATTATTCATTCATATATGTGGGAATGTTTTTAAACTTTTTAAAATATGGATGGAATAATCTAAATTATCCTAAGTCATATTGGCATTCTTGAAGAATGATAAAAATATATTTTATAAATTTATTTTTTTAATTAAATAAATATAAAATATTTGACAATAACTATCTTTCAAAAACATTAATTATTTTAAATCTCTAAAGAAGTAATATACTCATGTAAGACTTAAAAAGAATAGATAGACAAATCAAAAACACATATAAAGTAAAAATTGGGATGATTATTATTAAATATAAAGAGATTGAAGATTCTTGAGCTAAAACAAGAATACATGAAAGATGTTGACAAGGATGAAGAAGATCTCATACTTACCTCCATATATACTATCTAATAAGAAACTATGTCAAAATATTCTATAGGTCATATGACATGTGTCTATTTTGAAAGACACATTTTAAACTTGCAAGGTAAGTTTTTTAGATGCATGCCAAATCAGAGACATATACATTTATTCCAATAGTTACTTATATGATTAAGAAGAAGTAGGTAAATATAGATTAATTTTATAAAGTCTTCTAGAGTAGCTTCTTAAAAGCTTCATAGATTTAGTTTTGATTTTAGATGTATTTGTAGGATAGAAATTTGGCCAACAAATTAACCACATCTTCGTAGTTTGTGGAACAAGTTAACTCCGTATAGTAGCTTGTAGAACAAGCTAACCATGTGGCGTTGTCGTATGGCGTGATTTTCTATCTGGGAATACACCGGATATCTAGCTGTAGAGAGTTTAGGTTTCTTTTTTATATAATGCCTTAGCTCCCAAAAACAAACTCCTTGCTTTGTATAAAAATTCAAAATATCTTTAAATTCTTCAAAATATATTTCTTCCCGCCAAGGACCTTTTTACATCAGACTTTGAAAATTCATAAAAGCAAATCGAACCGTTCACTTTGTTTCAAATGTCTACATAAGCTAGATGCTATACTTAACTTTTACCACAAAAAAATTGAACCGTACATCTATCACCGATCGTTCGGCATCTAAGAAACCCTAGCAGGTGCACAAAACCCTAACTTACAAGCACCCGAAAACTATTTTCCTTATATCTCTTAAACCCAAGCTCCAAATCACACAAAACTTGTATAGAAAGCTTTATAACAAGATAACACTCAATCTTGAAACTTTTGAGCTAAAACCTCATCAAATTGTCTAAGATATAACTCAAATCACAAGCACAAGTAATTCAAGCTACTTACTACCCTTAGATATCAAGCGCTCACTTCAACTGCCAATATCTCCTTCATAAAAGCTTGGAATTCGATAAACAGTATACACAAACTGTAGCCGAAAACGTGCTCTCTTCAAA